ATATTCTTTCAGAAAATACGAGTGTTGGGGTATTGATGAGATATTTGCGTTATGACTTTTGGTTTGATTGGAAAATATTTGATGGGGGTTTTACTGTTTCATTTGTATTCTGTTGAGTTTTTCATGGCTGTGACGTCTTTGCGGATTTTCCGGTGCGAGTGAATGCGGTGGGGAGGGAGAGCGGCATGAAAGTAATGCCCACGGCGGGCCATTTGAATTGACAGTTGTGTCTGATGAATTGACGAGATAATTTGATTATCGTGTAGATCATTATAACATCTTAAGATGGAAATCAATATCCAAACAGTAAAAAACAATATGAGCGCTGAAGTATTATTATTATGAGAAGGTTGCGTTAATTTTTCATTTGTTTGAACAAAATTTGATGGGAGTTTTACTGTTTCATTCACATTCAATTGCCTTTTCATCTCTGTGATATCTCTACAGATTTTTGATGAATGTAAAAATGTGAAGAATGCCGAAAGCGCGCAGCGGAAGTAATCCGCACGGTGGAAAATTTGAATTTCATTATCTGATCTTCATTCATTATTTGCAATCGGCAACTTGGGATAATGAGATTTGGATTATCGTGTAGGTCGTTATAACATCTCAAGATGAAAATCGATATCCAAACACTGAAGAATATGACTGAAAGGTGCGCTAAAGTTGATGAGAAGGTTACATTGACTTTTAGTTTGAATTTCAAAGTTTAAAATATCTATATAAGCATGTAATAAATAATATAAGGAGAGGTGGGGAAAGAAGGGCTGGTGGAGATGTAAAACAAGGAAAGAACTCGTGTAACATCAAGGAAAATAAATTGAATTGAATTGAATTGACTTTTAGTTTGATTGAAAAAAAATGAAATGTGGACTTTATAGTTTCATTTGCCTTAAATGCTTTTAATCTCCATGACATCTTTACAGAATTTTCGGTGCAGCGTGCCATAAGCTCTCAAAGGCACTCCATGCTCACGGTAAGAAATTAGAATTATCAATGGCCATTCATTGAGTAATCGGATAATTGCCATTTAAAACACCAGATAATGTGGTTCAAATTACACTCAAGGTCATGATAAAATAATTACGCTCGTGGCCATTATGATATCTCACAATGGAATTCGATAACCAAACTATGGAGAAATACACCAGCAACACGATTTCCAATCGAGAATAAAGAAAGAACGGTGGAATTTGACACCCGCCAGCCCCCATATGCCGATGAATAATAATCGTATAATTGTGTTGTAACCCGATAGAAATGTAATTGAGGCACTCCAAATAAGCTTCATGGAGGTAATGAGATACCCCTACCATAATGAAACACAACTCCAACGCATTCGGTGTTCGCAACGCCCTGATCGTTTGCCTTCAATCACTCCTTGACAGATGCACTTTGCGGGTTGGAACTCTAAAGCCATCAAGAAGGAATGCGCCGGAGGGGGCATACCACCTCCCTGAAAACTAGGCACTCGATGCGTCAAAAGCGAGACGAACGTTTAACGAAAAGAAAAAGTAAACGAATGCCGAGAGGAAAAAAAACTGAAGGCGATTAGTCGTCTCCGTGATTTTCGTGAGATTTTGCCGAGTGATCCCTATGCCATTAAAAACCATCAGAGTCAACCTTCCATATTCATTTTCTTGAGCATAAATTATCATACCTCGTGTATGTCTCAACGTCATGTTTTCCCTCCTTCATGTGTCTTTTTTTTTTTTTTTTTTTTTTTTNTTTTTTTTTTTTTTTTTTTTTCGCCAAGTCTAGTCTGATATGCAAGCGGACACTGGAACCGGTCGTTGTCCATGCCAAAGGTGGGCACACGTAAGCCGCGTGCAAACAACCACCATTCACCATCGGAGTTGTTATAATCTCCAGACAGTAGTAAATCCCGGTCATGATATTCCATTTGTTATGCATCCAACTCTCTCATCCGATCACACCCTCTTTTCTAGTAGTTCATTACGCGCTGACAGAGGGACTCATTTGTACTTGATATACTTATTGTGTTGGGTACTTCAAGGGCCATTTGTCGATAATTAATGGGAAATCACTGGGATTTAACATTAGCCGGAAGTTTCAGGGCGACAACTCATGATTTGGTGACAGTCATTTGTCGATGCATTTGTCCACTTGCATCGACCTTCTCTCTGGGCAGTCATTTGTTCGCGATGAACGAATACTCGTTTAGGCATATTCGACTCTAGCAGTTGTTTATCATTGAGATATTTAGGGGGAGAAAAATTATGACATTTCAGGTTTCATTGAAAATTCAGTCAAATTCCAGAATTTTAAGGGGAATAGAGACGAGAATTCCTTACTTTAGTTGAATTTTCAATCTGATATGAATATTCAGTGTGAAATCGCATTAATTTTGCAGGGAAATCTGAAATTTAATGATTTTTTACAGTGTCACTGTCCTGAAAATTCAAGAATATATTTACCAGAATTTTTTGGTTTTCTATTCATTTTCAGGGAAAAATGGAACGGAAATTTACAGTTCTCTTTAATTTTTCCACGAAATTCTGAATTTTCAATGGCAAGATTTCCTGAAACTTCAGTGGAATTGGAACACGATAAAAATTTCTGAAATTTAGCACGGAAAATTCAGTCAAAAATTTTCAACAATAAATAACTAGGAATTTGAATAGTAGTCGAGAGATACGGTAAGGTAAATGATCCTACGCCCATGTAACTAAGGTGAACACATCATTAGCCAAGTATTTCTATCGAAATGAGTGTAAAGATCTGCGATGTTTTTTTCAGTGCATTCCAATGTATTCTCAAATTATATTTCAATGCATTAAATTTCATTTTTTTTTAATCCGTTTCTCCAAAAAAAATTCGGAAACAAATGTTGATAGCGCGCCTAAAAACTACTCTTGGTCTATTCGATATTCTCTGAAAAGGATTTCCCCAGAAAAAATTATCCGAATCAATTGGATATTTTTAAATTAAATATCACATTATAAATCATATGATTCATGACCGAAAAATGTACTGTATCGGTTAACGCTCTCGAGTATCAGAACAGCCCACAAATTTCATAACAAAAAAAGGGACTGCTCCACTTCCTGGTTCACTGAACCCGTCACGTACGCTACAACTCCTTTCCGCAGCGTCATTGCTTCGCGGATTTACCACGGAGATCAATAATCGATCGACAGCCATGATGGCGTCGATACCTGAAGACGTGGGGCCATTGCGGCCTTTAACTTGACGCGGCAATGGTCTCGCGGAATGCGGAAAATGGTAATTTTCATTACAATACCAAGTATATCACGACGATTACAGTCCCAATCTCATTGTTAGTCAGCGATTCTCATGACGCTAATTCGTGAAGGATATTAAGTGAACTACTCATGCCTGTAGTCCACCGCAATTTATGAAAAAAAAATCGACTGGGTTGTTGGTCGCTCGGGTCGGACCGATTTTCCTATACAATTTATTCTATTGACATATTTTTCACTTAATTTCCTCGCCTCCAATTTTCCAAGATTTTTGTTGAATTTTCTCAATGAAAAAAACAAAAAAATAGAATTAAAAAATAATAATGAGAACAATTGACCTATATTGAAAAATCTTTGAAAAGTTTCAAATTAAAAAAATTCCTGTTCGAATTACTCCGAAACAAGAAATCAATCTCATCGTTTCTCTGTGAGGAATCATCAAATTTCTAAAAAAATTGCATTTTTCGACATTTTTTCACAAGTTTTATCGCAAAATCTAAAGAACCGCTGAGGCGATGTTGTTCAACGTCTAATCATTTCTAAGTTACATGAAAAGACATCGATTGCGTGAAAAAAAAATTGAATCGCATCGTTTGTTCGAGAGAAATCGTGACGCAAAATTTTGGTCACAGACACACGCACATGCACACATACCCACCGGTCTCTAAAAACTGGCGGAAGAGTTTCTAGGGGTCACGAAACGTGGACAAATCATGAAATTTCCCAAACGGATTTTCAGGGTCATTACAAAAACTTCCTTCGGGTCAGGAAGTTAAAAAAAATATGGCAGCATTCGAAATGATTGGAAAGTTGCGCAAGTCGCTCAATAAGGTATAGCCCAAATATCAGCGATCATTGACCCGATGATACGAAACCCGTGCTGGTATGCTTTGTTTTCAGCATTAATCATATACAGGTCATCGAGACCATTGTACGATTTGGGTTGAGATAGAGTAGTGGGGGGGCATCTACTTGACCGCAACAATTGATTGTCATTGACACACAAAGACGCGAGAAGACTGAAGCGAAGATACAATCCAGGATAATGTTCAAAGGTCATTGCACTTACGCATTATCTTAGCTGACGATCAACAGACACTTGTCATGCGCAATTCAATGGAATGCAATGAGACAAAATGATAATTAACCCTTTACGGTCGCCTACGCTGCTGAAAAAATTCTCGGATTTTCTAGAGCAGCCGCACATTTTCAAAACAATTTCATTTTGTGGTGATACGTACAATTAAAAAATATGATAGATCATAAAAAAGAGACGTTAAGAGACGTTAAAACATATCAGAAATGCTGAGCGGGTGCATCCTTGATACAGCAGTTAGCCTTAACATCGACTAGGTGGCGTCTGACGCATTCATCACACACAACATATACGCACCCGCATAATAAACTAAATGAGCCCACCTTAAGGTTATCCAAATGTCTTTTACAGTTTGGTGCAGACTATACTATAGATTTAACTATTTACAATCATCAAATTTGTCAATTAAATTGCGTGATAAAAATTTGGAAAAAAATCATGACATTAAAATTACATTTTCCATAGATTTATTATTTTTGTAAACATTCATAAAAACCAAAAACGCCCGGAGTAACAGGGGAAATTTGAGTGTTCATACTGGCGGTTGGAATATTCATTCTGTTGGAACTTGAGTCTAACTGCTGTATCAGGAACGCGGCAATTTTTTCCGAATTTTTATGATGCTTAAAGAACGGGTGAAGAGACGATTAAAAACCTTGAAATCACTAATTGTCACTTACCTCGCTCTTGAGATTCAGTGGAACATCGCAGGGGGCGTCCATATCGGTCTCGGTTTTTATGTGATGGGAGAGGAGGCCGCTGTGGCTGTGACGTGGTGGCGCTGCGGTTGCCAACATGTTAGGATGCTGTCTATACGGCAATTGACGCGGCTGCAGACGTCTGTGATGATAAGGTGATGTTGACAGGTGTGTTGTCTGGGTGCGTAAGTCAGCTGGGGGTGATGCTGGCGCAGCGGTACTGCTCTGTTCCTCCTCGGCTGAGCCCTCCGCCATGTCAACCGAGCATCCCGATGAATCGTTATCTGAAAGACGAATGAAAGGATGAATATTTTCATAAAAAATAACAAAAAAATTGTTACATTCGTCAAAATGGAAATGCACGAGTGAATTCAGACAGGAATAAACATTCGCCAATTAATTCTTCGTAATTATTTTGATTATACTATATCAGTACCGAAGTGATAAAACGGTTCAAGTCAATTTTGACTATTGACCAGTTTTCAATTAATATCTCGGAATCTAAGGGCGACAGCAAAATTTGCATTATAACCTTTTTTGTAGAGCCGATTGAGAGCTGCAACAAATGTATTTACGAAAATTTCGCTATCTCCCTTAGATTCGGAAATATTCCTCAAAAACTCAACTGAGAGATAAGTCGATATATATGATTCTTGAAAACAAAGTATTTCCTTTCATCACCGGTTAAATTTTTGTATTTCGATAAGTAGTTGAAACCCCTATTTTCCATTGGACTTTAATCCTCTACAGACGCATTCAGTAATTTCTCTGTTAACATCATCTACCTAAATCTGATGCCTTCACAGGAATTTGGAGAGTATTCTTTCTACATTCATCATTTTTCCACAATTCCAATCGACGATTCCGTAAACTTAAAATTTTCTAAAACTTCAAAAGTTTCCACGAATTTTCCATAAAATCTGGAAATTTTCTCTAGTCCTTTTTTCAGAAAATTCGAGGGTTCTGTGAAATTGGAGCGAAAACTCGAAATTTCTTGAATTTTTAACATTGCCGAAGACATTTTGATTTCAACGAATCAGAGGCAGTGTTCGGGATCACGTGACACGTTTCATAATTTTTATTTTATAACGCTTCTTTGTGTTAGTTTTCTCTGGGAATTTACGAGGATTTTACAATATTTTCTTTCCTAATGACCAAATTAATGTGGGCATAGATGAATATTATTGTAAATTATTTTCTCGTTTCTTATTTCATGTCAGAATTACGCTTTAAAAATTTCCCCCCCGAAGCTTGTTCTCATTCAAGATATTTAGAGTTCGATTTTTTTCAATTCTCATTTTTTCCCTCATATCTTATCTGAAAAGATCCACGACACATTTATAATTTGAAATCCGAATTCAAGCGTCTTTTGTCTCTCATTCCCATCAATTCCCTCCGCTAAATTCACCCTCAACCCCAAAATAAATCAACAACATTTGCTAATTTAATCACAAATTCCACACACCATCCACCCAACTAATTAAATTTGGGGAATCCCACAATGATATGAGAACGAACAAGCGCAGCTGTCAAGCGAATTCCCGGACAGTGAAAATTAGAAGACCCATTCTATCCCTCTCCCGAAAATGGTAAAGATTAAATGAACGACAAAACATCAAAGGCAAAAACTGTATCGTCGGCACTTTACGGGATGCCACGTGTATTAGAGTTGTATACTAGTTTGCGATGCCGATATTCCTCCCTCCACCACACCGAAGCCATAAATGTCTGCTCCAGTGGGCTTTGGCGCCATGACACATTCAAAAAGTATAATTATTTTTATCTTAATGCGAGTTCACTCACTACTTTCAGGGATAAAGTGAAATTCAAGGGCAATGAAATCACGCCTCAAGCCTCGGAGATGGTGACCTCGTTGTCTTACACATCTCCTTCTTCCTTCAATTTAACTTTCTCTCCCACTTCTTTCTATGGGTTATAATCCAACGCTCATCTGACACCCGAGGGAGAAGTGAGGAGAAGAAAAGAGAAGAGGGGAGGCCTTTTCAAACGCAACTTAACAACATCTGCTTCTATTTTTGCGTTGGCCCGAGTCCAATCCTTAAAACTTTTTAAACTGTCTGGGTATATGGGCTTATGACGAACGAGCCCTGGACGGATCATTGAGCGTATGTTTCAAGTAGAAAAGGTCATAAGTGCAGGCCATACACGAGAATACACACAGCATGTTAATTTTCTTTTCATTTTTTATTTATGAATTTTGCTTGTTTTTGGCCTCTGCGTTTAGCCGCTAAACGAGGAGGAAATCATCCGCGCCAGTGGCTGATATTCGCGTGCAGATATGTAGCTAATGGGTAAACGAACGCGGCCTCTGATGGAGAAATAAAAATGATGGTTCATTGAGTTGATAATCGCGTAATCTCTTTTGATGTTTTCGATCCATTTTTCTGAGTGAATTCGCATTTTAATTAGGAAAATAACGCATTTGGGAGTGGTGAGGGAATCAATTTTTTTGCAAGGGTTGTATGATTATTTTCTTTTTTTTTTATTAGACACGAAACCTTATGGTTTATACAGCTAGTATAATTATTTGTACGGATTACCTATTATTCCGTATTATTTATTTTATTTTATTTTTAAAGGAATTTGTTGCGAGCAAGCTCGCAACAGGCCATTGCCCGAGGGCCTTCAGTCAGTGAATACATTTTTCACATAATTTCTTTTTTAAACTGAATATATAATATTAATTGAGTACGTTGGTATATGAGTGTTTTTTTTTTTTTTTTTTTTTTTTTTTTTTTTTTTTTTTTTTTTTTTTTTTTTTTTTTTTTTTTTTTTTTTTTTTTTTTTTTTTTTTTTTTTTTTTTTTTTTTTTTTTTTTTTTTTTTTTTTTTTTTTTTTTTTTTTTTTTTTTTTTTTTTTTTTTTTTTTTTTTTTTTTTTTTTTTTTTTTTTTTTTTTTTTTTTTTTTTTTTTTTTTTTTTTTTTTTTTTTTTTTTTTTTTTTTTTTTTTTTTTTTTTTTTTTTTTTTTTTTTTTTTTTTTTTTTTTTTTTTTTTTTTTTTTTTTTTTTTTTTTTTTTTTTTTTTTTTTTTTTTTTTTTTTTTTTTTTTTTTTTTTTTTTTTTTTTTTTTTTTTTTTTTTTTTTTTTTTTTTTTTTTTTTTTTTTTTTTTTTTTTTTTTTTTTTTTTTTTTTTTTTTTTTTTTTTTTTTTTTTTTTTTTTTTTTTTTTTTTTTTTTTTTTTTTTTTTTTTTTTTTTTTTTTTTTTTTTTTTTTTTTTTTTTTTTTTTTTTTTTTTTTTTTAACAGTAGATAATGATTGATGCAGGGTTTGTGAGTGAGGCGGAAATGGTATACATTGTAAGAGATGCGGTGATGAAGAGGCGAAGATTCCGTATTATACCCGGCATTTGACAATTGTTTGCTTTGGTGCACACTCAAAATTTCCCGCGCTACGCGCCACTTCCGTTACGCACTTCCAGAAAGGTGGACTCACTCACACGAGGAATGTTCGGAATTCCCATGAATTTGAATAGAGATAATGAATTAGAAAAAATTAATAAGTAAATGGAAAAGCCGGGAATTGAAAAAATGAAACGAATGAATCAAAAAAACATCTAGATAAACAAGTAAATGAACGAATCGGTAATGCGAATAGCCACGGCGTAATTTTTTTAACTGACTCCAGAACAATCCTTGTTGAAAATACATTATCAATCATCAAAAGATTTGAGTAGATGCATCGGACCAACTCCCAAAAATGTCAGTTATAAATCCCAACCACCGGAATCATCTCATTGTAGTCTTCATCTCATTCGGACAACAAATGATCATCAATCCAGAGTCGGCGAATCGCATTAATTGCCACGCGCGCGTGTTTCGCAAGACCGAAAATTATTATATGCTTTAACCACCAGCTGTCGGCATCATGGGAGGAGTGAGACGGATGAAGTGAGGCTGAAGGTGGGGTTATAGCCCTAGGAAAGTTAGATGTGCTGCGAGCGATTGTACGAGTCTGAAATCATCTCTTTTTTCGGTGTATAATAGCGGTTATTTCGGAAACTGGATCAATTAGCAGAGTCCATTTAAATGCAATAATGAGTGGGGATCGGGTGGTTTATTATAGGAGCCATACAAGAATAAATGCAGGACCCGGGTAACAATGTGATACGTCAAAAAATCCTGACAGGTTCGGGAGAAATTGTGGATATGTGAACATCAGAAAATTATATAGGACTTTGGGATTTTATGCGAAGGGAATCGTCTATACCTGCACGTCAGCTGAAATAGGTGGAGATTGTGAAATAAAATGAGCATTCATAATTAAACATCTGAGAATTATTGGGTTTCTAATACTGGAGTCCATTAAGAATTTCAATAGTTAATGATATGTTGAAATTTTTGTATTTTAGAGATGGAATAGTTGTTTATTCATCGCGACATTTAATTATTCATTCGATCAGTCGAGCATACTGGGATATCAAGGGTGAACAAGTTCCGAAGAATTTATGGATATTCCTCTTTTATCGTCTAAAATTATCCAACCGCTAATCCTTAATTCTGATTGGTCAATATCTGACACGAAGTTATTCACAAAAAAAACACGTGGCATTTTCAAATTCTTCAGCGACAATTTCAAATTCTTCAGTGGTAAATTTTTTTTTCACGTCATATATATATATAATATATATATTTCACATGTATATATATCATCGGTGAAATTAATAAATTCTATCCTTTTATGGAGACCGATTATTCAAAAAAATAGAAGATAATTAATTGAAAATGAAAAATTCTTTATAGATTCTTTTACTCTACTTCGCTATTCGCTTCAATCATTAGTCGAATTCTCATTGATTCATTATCAATATTTGTAAGGTATTCATGAGAAAATGAAATTCAATGAATCCATTTCTTCATTTCAACAAATGAATAGATCAGCGCGCGCGAGAGCGCGCGCATGGATCTTGTTCACTATAATTTTAATATTGTCTCATATGCCAGGTTCATATTTGAGCCACACGTTGAAAATAATTTTAATCCTGCCATCGGGGCATCCTAGTGCGAAATTAATTTCTGAAAATCACTTCTTGTAACATTACGCTTAGGGAAGAAACGTGACCGCGTGAGCTTTGATCCAGATGTTGCGTGGGCTAGACACTCAAGATATTGAAAAAAAAAACCACAAACCATTTACTTTAGACTATGGAGAATCTATCGCCGGCGAGAACCAGTAGGGGGCCAGGCCATATAGGCGTGATATCTTCGATTGATTTTCGAATTCCTCTAAAAAAAATTTGACCGCCATTACGAGTCGAGCAACGCGAC